ATCGCCTCCTGATCAGCATCATCTCACCTGCGCTCTCAGAGTGTCGCCCAACATCGCTTGGAGCTCGGCGGTTCTTCGTGTCTCGCACGCTCCTCTCCTCGCTTGGCTTGTTTCAGCCGTCGATTTTCACTTGCCTCGCATCCGAGATTCTTTCCTCGGCCAGGTCCACCCTCCTCAACCCTCGTATCTTTCCTCCCTCCCTCCCTCCCCCTCCCCTTCCCCTTCCCCCTTCCCCTTCCCCTCTCCCTCCTCCCCTCCTCCCCTCCCTCCTTGTAGCTCACCCCCCGTCCTCCTTCCGCTCATCAAGATCGCAACAGATCCTCCTCTTCATCCGTTGGTACCGCCTGGCCCTCCCGCCGCAAGAGGAGGGGGAGCTACTCGCCTGTCGCAGGAGCTTCGATCGCTGGGAGGAACAAATCATGTGCAGGATCGGCCGCAACCGAGTGAAGCCAGTGAGGAGCTCGGAGCTTCAGAGGAGCGTGGGGGCAGCAGCGGCTCTGCTGGGGCTGGAGGTGGAGGAGGAGGTAGTAGAGGAGGACACTGGACTTTCCGTGGACTTCTTCCTCCCTTCTCTGTCCCTGTACATCGAGGTGGATGGGCCTTTCCACTATGCTGTGGATTTGGCTGAGGAGGAGGTGGACGCTGGTGGAGGAGGTGGAACAACTCAGTGGCTGAAGGAGACAGAAAGGAAACTTCCTCTGGGAAGCACGATATTCAAGCAGAGATTGCTAGAGCTCTACCGCAAGGACGTCAGAGGTGAAACCCCCTACCCTCCCTCCTCCCTCCTCTCTCATCAAATTTCCTTCTGCCCTCCTCTTCTCTCTCCCTCACGTCTCCCCCCTCGCGCTCCCCCTCCTACATCCTACATGTCCTACCCTCCCTCCCCATCCCCCCCCCTTCCCTCCTGATCCTCATGCAGTGATCCCGTACTGGGAGTGGCTGAGCCTGAGGGGAGAGGAGGAGCAGCGCGATTACCTCAAGTCTCTTCTCCAACCAGGAGGAGGAAGCAGTGGGGAAAGCTCATCAGACGTTGAGCGGTAGAAACTTCAACCATGGGTTCTACTCTGCTCCTGCGCAGACACTCCCTCCTATCCCTTCCTTGTGTTTCATTCTCATTCTTTACATCCTTTACCGAAGTTTCTTTGCCAAGGATTTGCACTGATCGGCAAAATCTTCCAAGAATTCGGATTCCTTGACAGAACCAGCCTGCTCCAAGTTGTCACTACAGCGATGGAGGAGACAGTCGGAGCAGGTACACCAGGCAGGCGAGGAAGGTACAACAAACCAAAGAAGGATGACAACAGAGAAAGGAGGGATGATAAGGTACAACAGGGGAGAAGGTGGTAGAACAGAAATGAGGAGGATCAACAGGGAGGAAGTGGTCGTACAACACAAGGAAGGTGGTTAGCGAGCAGCATCTCGATTACACCCACACCAGCACTTCATCGCACAGCCAACAAGAAGTGGTGACGTCACCACCGACTTCTCACCTCCTCAGGCCCACAGAACCTTGCGACGAGCAGCTCATACGCGATCTCAACCTGTGACAAGACGATCTCATCACCCATCCTCCTCCTGCCTCCACTGCCACCAACCTCCGATGCGCACTCTCCCGCCTGGTGATGCTCCACCACGTCGGTTAGGAGGACGCGCTTCTGATCCCGCGTGATGTGTCCTTCCTTCGCCAGCTTCCTCAGCGCCGCCACAGTCCTCTCCGTCACTCCCTCCATCAACTCCCTCTCGTTCAGCACCTGCAACCCTGTCACTCCCTCCTTCACCTTCCTTCCTGCACCCGCACATCATCTCCAAGATCGCGTCCGTCGTCTCGCAGACCACTGACGAGGAGATCAGACATGTCAGCTGGGGAGTCAGGAGAAAGATGCGTCACCGTCTCATGTCATCATCTTTGTCGTCGTCTGACAACTCGAACATCATGCTGCCAACATCAGGTCAGTTTTACAGTCTCGTCCAACTCTTTCTCGTCACCTCCCGACCATCCCGCTCCCTTCCCCGTTGCTCGACTGGTTCGCTTCTTCAGCATTCTCTAGCGCTCCTTGCAGGGCCCTCACAATCTCGTCCACGATCTCATCCGCATTCGCATGCCCATCCCCTTCCCGCAGCGACGACGCATCGAACCTGATCACCCGGGCTCCTCCCGAGTTCCCTTGCAGGAGATCTTCGATGGAGGCAGGGCGAACAGAAGCTTGTGACGCATGGTGGTGCACCAGGTACCACCTCCCTCCCAACTTGCGGAACACGTTGGTCGCCAGCATCCGCCGCTCAGTGCCCGGGGAAGAGACCTCCTCAGTGCAAGTGACGAAGGCCGAGGTTCCCCGGACGTGCACCTTCACGTTGGAGGGAGTGATGGCTGTGCTCTTGAAAGCCTTGTCCCGCGCCTGGAACATGTTCCGCCACATGTTCACGATGTTGTCGTACCCCAGCAGAGGCTTCGCCCCTGGGTGGATGCACTGAACGTGCGGGCTGTTGTGCCACACAGTCCCCATCAGCTCGATGTTCTTCGTGCTGAACGCGTTGTAGAAGTCGCTGTTCGTCTTCAGCACAGCTGACGTGTCGTCCATGTGCATTCGGCTTAGCTCGTCCCTAAGGGTGCTCGCCTCGCTGTAACGCTCGTTCTTCACCGCAGACTCCAACGAAGTCTCCAGCTTCTCCACCCACTTCTCGATCACCTGCTCGTCCGGCTGCAGGTCATCCATCCCGCTCTTGGTCTTGTCCGAGTGCCGATCAACGATCCTGTCGTCCGGATCCAACTCCTCCCCGCCATCCCTCTTCTTGCAACACATCCAGTCCCGGAACGCGGACACCGCTTTTGCCCTGCAATGGTTGGGACATACGTTGGCAGCGGAGGGCATCTTGGTGCAGATCGTGGAGCCTGAGCTAGGGCGCAGCACTAGGTTATGATAGTGCGGAAGATTGGAAACGGAGAAGCTGTAGCTGACTGGAGAAAGGCAGAGCCCCAACAAGGTTAACTGTGCGACAAGAACCCTCATCGTTCAATCCTTCTTTCAGGACCACCAACTGCGAACAGGCTGGTGTTAGGAGCAGCCTGTGGCACAATCTTTACTCTCACTCACGCCGGGTTTTGGACAAGTCAGCCCAAAATTGTCAGCGTCTCCGCCAAAAGTCGCTCTCACCCTACCAAATAAGCTCCTACGGTTTGAGCGCAACCAATCTGCGAAACCAAACACCATATCAGACCAGATCATCTTTGCCAGCAACCTCAATGCATGTGGACAATCGTCTCATAGGTATAGACGGTGCTCCTGCACTGGCACCAGTCTACCCCATCTCTAATCACATCCATTGCAACGGAAAACATCTGCTCTATTGAAACCCCAGTGCCAACTAAGAGCGATCGAGGCGACTCAAAACTACATTCAAAACTATGTTTGCTTCCATGCGATCCAATCGAGTTGTCTTGTTCCCAAATCACGAGCTCATCTTCTCCAATCACTTCAAAATTCACATTTTGGTCCCCTGTATGGCCCCCCTTCAAGCTCCTGCCGCCCTCCTCCACAGCCAACTCATCCTATGGCTTTCGGACTCTCAATTTAACACCAGCTCCTTCACTTCTTGCAACCTTGCCTGTTTCCTCGCACTGCTCCTCCTCCTCTTCCGTCTCTCTCCTTCTTTCCTCCCCTTCGCCAGCATGGCTGGCCATGTTAGAAAGGGGAGCCTGGGGGGTGGTCCATGGGGTTTAGAGGGTACCTCTGGGGAAATGGAGGGGTGGGGTTACGGGATGGCCTCGTTGAGGGAAATTAAAATATATTTATAACATTGGTACTGGATTCATAAAAAAAGTTGTCTGCAAAGAAGACAGATTGAAGCATATTGTTTTTTTGGGCCTATAACCCGATTGTACCCCACCCTTTTCCTTCAAAAGATGGAATGAGGACTGGTGGGTTAAGATTTCAACCGGTGGGTGGAATTTCACCCCACCCTACCTTCATCGCTGAAACACTACCCCCACCCTACTTTTTCCATCGGCTACAGTACCCCATCCTAGATTCGAAGTGATCATACAGAGGTGAATTCGAAACATATGACCCCTACCTATCAAATAGATCAATTCAAAAGGAAAGGTCCGGGTATACCTATCACCCCTACCCGTATCAACAAAAACCCTACCCACCCATGTACCCCTGGACTTGTTCAGGTACAGTTGATGCACCCACCTACCGGTACCAGATCAGATTTCATTTCACCCACCCTCTCTATTTGACGACAACGCCGGGAGAAATTCAAGGATGGAGGTGGGGTAGTCATCAACAATTTTCAAGTGGGGGTCCTGGAGGACATCACGAGAATAGGAAATGGTGGGGTACTTTTAGGTAATTTGACGGGATAGTGATGGAGAAGATGAAGATTGAAGGGGTGTCACAGTTGCAGGTTCTGGATGGTAGGGTACTTGGGGTGGGTGACACGGACTAAAATTAGATCCCTTTGTGAACGTAAAAATATTTATAATGATAGTTTGGAACCGTATGGAAAAATGCATCCTACAAGCATTTGTAAATGAAGGATTGAGTACCTGATGGTAAACAAACTAAATTCATTATAGGTTTTTGATGGTACAGGAATCTCACAAGTTTGTTTTTATGCTGTACCCAAATTAAACTTATATATTTTTTATAATTTTGTTTGTACTAATCAGCATTTTAAAAGTAATGACAGTGCGAGAGAGGTGGTCATAGGATTGATAAGCCTCTGGTCCTAGCTTGAGCCTTGAGGAATTTCCATAGGTAATAGGGGTCTTGAGCCTTTAAAAGTTTTACAGGTCAGTCCCTGACATGACGAGGCTCATAACCTGTTATTCGCAAGTTGTTACACAGTTGAGTACGGAAATGTACGGTACGGTCACGCCGTGGTGACGCCGGACTCGGGGCCCCGAGCCGCCGGGCCGGCCCGTCATGGCCGGCCGCCGCAGATCAGTGATGATGACGATCGCTCTCGGATGCATGGCATGATTGCCACAATTTACGGCGGGTTCAACCGTTTCAAAGAAGTTGACAGAGCCAAGTCAAGGCAGTTTCGAACTGACGGTTCGGCCGCGCTCGGCCCGGCCCGCCGAGAGCCTGAGCGGGCCTGGGCTCATCCGTTTGCACTGACTGCCGGCCGCGCGGGCACTGGTGATTAATAACCGCCGAATAACGGTTCTTTACAGAGTTTGTTGCACTCAAAAGGAGATCTTTTAGGGTCAAGGAGGGGTGGGTAGTCCTTGTAGTGACCAGGGGTACTAATATGTTTAAGGACCCGTTCATACGGTTACCTTGTTTGGAATGGGAGGTAGGGGTATTTGCAGTACCGGTAATCACAAGATGGATATGAAAGAAGTCATAGTGAAGTCATAGCAGATCTACCATATTAGTTTGGGTATTTGGAAATAAGGTGGTAGGGGTAGTGTTTCAGTCCCAGTAGGTAGTAGGGTGGAGTGTGTGCAGTATTGTCAGGGGTGGTGGACTGGCATGGGGAGGGACGTGAAAAATGCCGAGAGGGCGATAGCGGGGGCAGGTCGAGAGAGCAGCATGAGAGGAAACGGAGAGATGAAAGGTGCAGTATTGTTGATGGGATATGGTCAATGAAAGAGGAGGAAGATGAAGTGATATCATGAGCGAGGCCTGGTTTCGCCAGGTGTGAGAGGGAGAGGAGATTGGAGAAATGCAGCGGGCGTGTAGATGCAGGACCAGGAGGAGAAGAGAGAAATTGACAAGAGAGGGAAGGAGAAGAATGACGATAAAGTTGAGAAAAGTGATCATGCATGGATGAACAGAGGATTCGTGTAGATTTTAGCAGCCGAGGAAGCAAATATGGTGTACAGAGGAAGGGGGGGGGTGGGGGGGCGGGGGGGGAGCGGGGGGGGGGGGGAAAGGTTCCTGGGGAACCTTCGAAGTGGGGGGGGATTTCAGTGAATTTTCTTCTGAGCGCCTGACAGGACATGGATCGGCTTCCAAGAAAAAAAGCCAGCGATGTGTTCGTCGACGAGCACATCGAGGCGCACACGAGTGACAACGAAGACCATACCTTCGCCGGCATCATGTTCAATGTCTCTGTCGCTAACCTCCCCTTCGAAGCTGTCCAGATCAGCTCCGTGTGGATCAGAGGTGGGCTCGGTCCCATCTCGATCTGGTCGACGCCGGAGGGCTTCGAGGACAAGCGTGAGAAGCAGGAGGAGTGGGAGAACCACTATTCGAAGCAGCATCGAGCGAGCTTGTATCAGTTCAAGGAGATGAAGCTGAAAAAGCCGATCCTTCTGAGCGCAGGAGAGACTAGGGGCATCTACATCCACTCGGCGTGCGAGGGGGACGAGCAGATTGTCTACGACGACAAGCGTGGAAGGCAGACATACTCGGATTTCTGTCTCAAGATTCGGCCAGGTGAGAGGCACGCGGTGCCGCTGGCGATGCTGAGCAGCAAGCAGGGTATGCGCATCTCTCCCACGTTCCCTTCAGCGCTGAGCACACGAACTGGGGGGGCTGGGGCCCAGCATGGAGGGACAACCGGGCGTTCGTGGGGAAGCTTGACTATGGGATCAAGTGGCTGCGGTGGAATCCAGAGGTTCACGTCCAGCTTCCCTCCTTTTTCCGCAAGATAGTTTGGTGCCTGCTGATGTCGCAGCATGCTCGGGCGTCCTGCAGCTTCTTGCACGTGCTCGAAGAGAACAGCCTCTTCTACATCATCAACAGCGTCAACTGGTGGGAGATGGCTGGTTCGAAGAAGGCGTTGAGGAGGAAGAAGGTGGTGAGGGAGGAGGCTGAGGAGTTAGGTGAGTGATTATCTTGTGCGTATCCCATGAAGCAAAACCTTGACTCTGGTGAGCAGCAGGCAAGAAGAGTAAGAAGAGGAGTAGGATGTCATGGCCAGGGCTGAATTACTACGTCGATGACGTGGCGGAGGGCGACGAGCTATAGGGTAGAGGGAAGATGTTGTATCGTATATGGTGTGTCGAGTGTCTGGCTGCTCCTTTTTGAGGTGTTGGGGGAGGCTGAGGGTGTTTGTGCTGATATTGTCGTCTTGCATTCTAATTGAGATTTTCGCCCCCTCGCATGTTTGATTCAACTTTGATTTACTTGCATCCTGATTAAAGTTTGATTTACTTGCACCTTTATTAAATTTTCGTCACGCACAACGACTTGCAAACATCAGCACTACGTGCGCTGAAGTTTTATTTCCTTCCTTGTCCTCCACAGTCCCTCCATCCTCCCCCTCTCTCCCCTCCCCGCGCCTGCCTGCTTGAATGCCTGCATGCCTGCCGAACCCACCCCGAAATTATCCTCTCCGTCTCCCTCTCTATGTTCCCCTCCAACTCTTCCTCTACCACCCTGACCCTGTCGCTCCCTCGCTCCTCCCCCAGCAGGGATGCTTCAAGACTTCTGCTCGGCTTCAGTCCAGCACTCGTGGGCTCGCGCTCTTCTTGATAGATGGGCTCAGGTCACCCTGCCGAGGTAGGAAATTAGGAGGAGGAGGAGGAGGAGGAGGAGGAGGAGGAGGAGGAGGAGGAGGAGGAGGAGGAGGAGGAGGAGCTTCGCTCACCTTGCTTGTGTTGAAGGAGGAGCGGAGAGCGTAGGAAGGGGAGGAGGAGGTCATGGACCTGAGGGACCCCTGAGTCTTGACCTGATGCTCGGCGATGGTCTTTCTCGGAGAGAATTCTTCCTGCCTCACGAGGAATTTCTTCTTGAAGGGGACGACGCGAAGGAAGACGGGGATGCGGAAGACGGGCGGGTCGGCAGGGGAGAAGCGGAAAAGGATCTCCCCGGAGAAGTAGCCGAGCTGGAACGTCCTGGCGAAGAGGAAGAAGGAGATGGAGCAGCCGGGCGCGGCGAAGTTCGAGTCGATCTCGAGGGAGGAGTTGCGAGCACGCGCCTGGATGCCGAGCTCGAGGAGGGGAAGGCCCTCGATGTTGAGGAAAAAGCGACGATGGTGCGAGTCGAGGTTGCGGATCACGACCTGGAACCTGTGGGGGGAGGAAGGAGAACCGGTCCTCTCTGCCATGGCCTCATCTGCCGTGATCTGGTGGACTACCATGGCGATGAAGGTTCCCTCAAACGGGACCCAGGGGATCGTCTCGTTATCGAGCCCGAGGAGGAGGAGCTTCTTCACTAGCCGCACCATCGCCTCCTCGTTGCTGTCGACGGTTCTGCATCTCTCCCTCATCTTCTCGAAACCCATCGACATGATGAAGCCCGCTCCTCCTCCTCCTCCCTCACCCTCCGCCTCCTTCGCGCTGTCGTCCCGCCATGTCCCGAACGTCCCCGTCGTCCTGTGAAGCTCGATGAGCCTCCCGCGGGTGAACTTGAGCCCCTGCCCGAGCTGCATGTCGACGGCGAGATCGAGGATCGAGTCCAGGGGGTCCTCCCGAGGGAAGCAGACGAGGGCGAGGCGGACGAGGGCGCACAGCCATTGGGAGTAGGAGACGTGATGGATGTCGCACTCTACCTCGTGACCCCACCTGGCGTCCCAGCTGATGGCTGTGGGGAGCTGCTTGGTGTGGTGAATGAGCCAGGCGATGTCCTTCATGGAGATCTGAGCCGACGGAATCATTTCGCGCACGAAGTGAAGAAACTCCGCCGGGTTCATGGTGACCTCCGAGCCTGCGGCAGCTTGAGAGGTGGAAGGAAGATTGAGGATGGAAGGGGAGGAGAAGGAGGTAGATGGGGTGAAAGGTTTGGAGTGGGGGGTGACAGGGAGAGAGAGCCTAAGGGGAAGGAGGGAGGAAAGAGGGAGAGCGGGAGGAGGGAGGAGGGAGTACGACTCACTGGCAATGTCGTCGAAGGTGATTGCCGAACCCTCTAGCGTTTGTCTGCCGCAGTAATACTTGAAGATGAAGTAGAGGATGCTGCCGTTTTCCTTGATCTGCCCGCAGATCGTCGAGTCGTAGAGGGTGAGGAGGTGAAAACGATGTCGCTTCATGCAAGCAAGCAGCTCTGGCTCCCTCGCTCGCACCTCCTTCTTGAAGTTCTCGAACTCCCAGCTGTCTTCCGCCACGAAATTCTTCCTCGCGAGCTCCACCGCCTTGGCTACCAGTTGGGAAGGAGCTGCGGAGGGGATCGTGTTGTCGTCGCTCCTCTCCCTCCACGAGTAGCCCAGCTTGGGTTGGAACTGCCTTACCTCCTCACTGAACTGCAGCACGTGCCCCGCATACCCCTGGGCACGGGAGGCGGTGAGCGAGAGGTTCCGAAAGTAGTAGGACAGCTGCTCCGACTTTTCCTGCCTCCTCCTGCTTGTCTGCGGCTCCCCATCCTCCCCTTGCAGGGAAGCCCTTGGCGTGTTGTACTGGGCGCTGACCCTGGAAGTGTGCAGCAAGTGGACGCTCCTTGCCGTCGCTCCTCCCGCCGTCTGCTGCTCCTTCGTCGCCTCAGGTTGGGCGGCATCTGCGAGAACAAACATCAGCAGGCGAAGGTACAAGTCGTCGCTCACAAGTGAAGTTGCGCCGGGGAGTGCAGAAGTTTTCCACCTCTAGCTTTCCCTTCCCCCAGAAATCCTTCCCCACGCTCTTCAGCGCCGAGATCTTCTGCCTGGTCGTCACTGGTCCCTCTTCCATGTGCGAGCTGCGTTCACTCAAGAGCCCTCTAGCTGAGAGCTTCGTAGGAAGAGTCCTCGTGGTCGGCAGCCCTACGGAAAGGTCTTCTTCCTGCTGCAATGCTGCATGATCGACGATGGTAGCTATCGGAAGCGTCGGGACCCTCGGCTCGAAGTAGCGCTGGCCCAGCATCCGCCCTCGCGCATGTTTGCCGCCGTCGATCACCGTCAGAGCTCTGGACGGCTCTCTTCTTACAGGCTTCAGTCGATTCAAGGCCACAACCTTCTTTACAGCCTTGCGGAAACCAAGAGCAGCTCCGGGGGCCCTCCTATCGGCATGAAGCTCTTCAACCCCTTGACTCTCGTCTGAGAGGTAGGGAGAGATCAAGGTCATGATAACAAGGTCAGTTCATGGCTGCCCCGTCCGACTCTGTTGAAGTACGTAAGATCGAAAACTGGTAATGACAGCGCCTTGAAAAATATCTCAAGTGATAGCAACAACACCTACCCTACCCTCTTGTCACTGAGTCAAGTTCCTGTTCTGTGTGCCCTGCCCTGCCCTGCCCTGCCCTGCCCTGCCCTGCCCTGCCCTGCCCTGCCCTGCCCTGCCCTGCCCTGCCCTGCCCTGCCCTGCCCTGCCCTGCCCTGCCCTGCCCTGCCCTGCCCTGCCCCGTCCCGTCCCGTCTTCTCTCCTCCTCTCCCCTCCCCTCTCATCTTGTAGCGGCCGCGAACGGCTTGCCATATCCGCCATCAACGCCCTTGACCTCTACCGTTGGGCGGTTACAAATACAGTAACGGAGTTTCGGATTTACTTAAAATGAGTGCAGCAACCCCGCCCCAGCGACACTTCACATAGGTAGAAGAACAATGTGGGGGAACGAGCAGGAGCAGGAGAGCAGGAGCAGGAGAGCAGGAGAGCATGAGAAGGGGGAGGGGGAGGAGCAGGAGCAGGAGAGCAGGAGAGCAGGAGAGCAGGAGAGCAGGAGAGCAGGAGGAGCAGGAGGAACAGGAGGAACAGGAGGAGCAGGAGGAGCAGGAGGAGCAGAGGAAGGTTCAGGGTATGCATTAGGAGCAATTCAAGCACGCAGATATGAAGTAGGAGTTTTCAGGGATGGGTTGGTATGTTGGGGAGGAACGAAAAATGGCTTCAAACCATGCACCATCATGAGTGATAGACAGTAAGTTCAATAGCAAGCTCGACACGTCAGAACTTGCTATAACCAGATCGATTGCTCTACCCATTGATATCTGCTCGCAGATCATGAGGAAAGTCGCCGGGAAATCTCTGCTTGTCCTGTTGCTCGCTTTCGTTTCGTTGACCTCAGGCGCCAAGTTGGGCGCGTCAGAGGAAGATGATGAGGTGACAAGACGGTGACATCCAGCTGCTATGTCTGAATCTTGCTCCTTCTCTCCTACCAGCATGTGAAGCAAACCAACACACGGATAGAGCGATCAAGAAGGATGGCGCGAGAGTTGGAGAAGCATGCGATGAAGATGGAGAGCGCCCTGCAGGACGTATGCAAATGTCGTATCCCGAGATGTGCTGTATTGTGATCGCATCGTTACTTCAGAAACTCGCTCTCCTGATGGAGAAGAAGATGGAAGCCAAGGCCCGGAGAGAGAAAGGCTCCTCCAAGCACATCACTGTCAGGGAGCGAGCAACCTCGAACAAGCAAGCTTTACAGCAGCAAAAGCATTCTTCTCTTCCTCCTCCAGCAGCAGCAGCAGTTGTCAGCCAAGGAGCAGAGTCGTCGTCGTCAAGCAGAAGTCACAGGAGGCATCAGGTAGTTGCGATGAGAACCAACAAAATTGCTGGTTGAAAGTGCATGACAGAACAGGAGAGGCCTCTTCGCGTCATGGTTGAACGGTTGGATCTGGCCCACTATCTAGAGGTGTATCATCAATCTCATATCATATTCTTTCTACGAAGACGATCTTTTTGGAATGCATGAACCTGTACAGTTACTTGTTTGTCACGGTCTGTCTTGTCGCTGTCAAGTCTTCCCTGCCTTGTCTCTTCATATCTCACACATTCCATCGGGGGGTTGCTCGCATCCTGCCGTCCGAGCCCTTCTCGAACCACAGATGCTTCGTGGGCTTGAACTTGGAGTGAGTCTTTGACTTGGCCCTGAGGGAGAAGAATGAGAAGGGACGGAAGTCAAACATGCGCGAAGACAAGCAGAGGAGGAGGAGAAGAGGAAGAGAGCGAACGAAGAGACGAGAGGACTAACTCGGACAGGAGGCGATCAGGAAGCAAGGGATGGGGAGGGAGTTTGGACGGCAGCAGCAGGTGACTGACCGGAGGGAGTTGATGGACTTGTAGTGTCCTCCGATCATCTTGGTGCTCATGGCCTTCCTCTCAAAGGATCCCAGCACATCCTTGGTGGCTGTGATCGCCTGCTCCTCTCGTCAGTTGCTCGTGTGGAAAGATTCCTCCCACCTCCAGGGATCGCTTCCTCCTTACTGCCTCGTCGATCCGCTGCGCAAGGATCTGCACATCCTTGAGGAGAGAAGGAAGAAAAGGAGGAGGAGGAGGAAGAAAAGGAGGAGGAGGAGGAGTGGAGACGAGGTGAACAAACGGGGATGACGAAAGCTGCACTCACCCTGTTCTCCGGGCGGACAAGGGAGACAGCATACCCTCTCCCTCCTGCTCGGCCAGTGCGACCAATGCTGGGCAGGAGAGGTCAGAGGACAAGGCAGAGAGAGGGACCAGGTAGCGAAAGGGAAGTACCGATGAATATAGTCGATCGAGGAGGCAGGCATGTCGAAGTTGATGACAGCCTTCACCTGAGGGATGTCCAACCCTTCAAAGCATGTCAGGCCGGCAAGGAGCACAAGAAGAGGAGGGAAGGAGCGAGGAGCGAGGAGCGAAGGAGCGAAGAAGGAAAAAGCAGGAGACAGGAAGGAGGGAGATCTTACCTCGAGCAGCGATATCAGTACAGACGAGAGCTTGAAGCTGCCCATCAACAAACATTTGCATCTGAAGGAGGAGGGTCAATCGGCAACAGAAACCTCGTGAGGCAGCCTGCCTGCAAGTATCTCTCCTCCTCCGAGATGTCTCCATGGATGGAAGCGTGGGGAATTCCTTCTTGCTACCATCTGCGCGTCAGAGCAGAGACGAAGGACGTACAGGAGGACATAGGAATTGCTGAGGAAGAAAGGAGGGTGTGGAACCAAGGGAGGGAGGGGAAGATGCAAAGGAGGAGGATGAAGGAAAGAAGGAGGACCAAGGAAGGAAGGAGGACGGAGGAATCAAGGAGGAAGGAGGAGGGGAGAAGGGAGAAGGGAGAAGGTAAGGAGGAGGAGGACGAGGACGAGGAGGACGAAGGAGGAAGGAGGAAGGAGGAGGAGGAGGAGGAAGGAGGAGGACTACAAGTGAGAGCGCAAGTGACCTTCAGCTGCTCGTGGACGAACGAGCATCCTGCCCGAGTGTTGCAGAAGATGAGGATGCTGGCCGTGTCTCCGCTCTCCTTCTGGACTTTGGTCAGGCAGTAGCGAACTTGGTCCAGGAGCACGTCTCTCTGCCTCGATCGTCAGCTTGCGAGGACATGAAGGGCAAGAGGAGGTTCCTGTTCCGAAGGCTTCACTTCAATGAAGTTCTGGACGATCCCGGTGGGGATGTGATGCAGTTGATCTGTCTTGACTATCTTCAGCTGCAGAACCGAGTCAGCGGCGCAAGTCCTTTGACTCCTTTTTTTCTACATGTGGAATCTTCTTGGTAACAATCTTCTCCGCATCAAGCCTGATCGTCGCAGCGCTGAGAAGGAACTGCTTCAACGTCATGCTCTCAATGTACATGACGGGCAGCCACCTGGAGGGAGCCGTCGTCCCCCATGGAGAAGGGAGTACTCCTCTGCAGCATCTGAGCTTCCTCCTGCAAGCAGACCATGAGGAAGAAAAGATTCTCTCCGCTGTGAAAGCACCTCAGAGGAAAGCCGGATCTTCATAACCTGGCGGTGAATTTCTGCAGCTTTACGACTGGCCTGCGAGAGGGTTCAGAGATGAATGTCTGAACTTTCGCTGTACGCTAGTAGTGGCTCTAATAATCTTATCAAGCTCGTTCTCGAACCCCTGATTGGTCTCGTGAGTCACATTGGCTGTGCTCACAGTCCATTGCGAACCTGCGTGAACATCGTATCGGCCTCGTCGATTGCAATGAATCGAATGTCTCCGAAGTAGAGTGCACCAAGTTTTGAAAGTTGAATCTAACAATCTATTAGAGAGGAAAGCTATGAGGTGTGAGAGAAGGTGAATCATCACCACTCTCGTGGGAGTTCCAATCACGATGTCACCTGCATGTCAAGATCATGCACGAGATCGCAACTCCAAGACATGGCTTACATCCAGCTTGCAAGCTTTTCTTTTGTTTTGACAGAGTGCCAGACCCTCCAAAGAATCCTTCGACCTTAAACCTGGCAAACGGCTCTCATAAACAATCTCCACCCCACGATATGTTTCTACTTGATGTGATGGCAGAGGCTCTTAGCTATGGCAAGCACCTGTAACGCGTATGATCGTCAACGCAAGAGAGGCAGAGTCTCACTTGTTCTCCAAGCTCTCTGGTCGGGACGACGATAAGAATGCGCGGGCGATTAGGCAGTGAACGTTTGTTAGTGAGGGACTCCAACATCTTCAATCTTGTGATCGCTGCATCGCAGTGTGTCAAGACCAAGGGCTCATCATATCCCACCATTGCGAGGCTCACCCGGGATGAGGAAAGAAAGAGTTTTGCCTGTTCCTGTCTCTGCCAGGAGCAAAGTGCTCTTCCCGCGCAACGTCGTTGGTAACGACAGCGCTTGAATCTCAGTCGGCGTGTCGAATCCGAGCTGCTTGAGCGCGTTCAATATCAGCGGCTGCAGTTCCGGGCACCAAGTTCTGGCCTCCTGTGACTTCTTGGGAATCTGACTCACTGTCTTCACATCTTGACTCGCTCTCGCTGTTCGCAACATTCTGGAGCCTGAGATGTCCTGGTGATTGTTCAGGGTTCTCCTTGCAGATGCGAAGTGATCGAGCACTGTGGGGTGAGAGAGCTGAAGTCCCTTGCAGTCTTGATGTTTCTCTCCACCTTGAAGTGTACGAGGAGCCCGCCATTGCGAGTACCGCCTCTGCTGCTGATTGAGCCATTGACCGGCCAATCCTCGTAATTCATTCCTATGCGCAATTTGAACTTGGTAGGCACACTGGTAAAGACGCTTGATTTGCATCTGTGACAACTATCGAGTTACAATAGAATAGAACGAACATACACACAATGGACCAGAAAGTTAGAGAGGTTTGTATGGGGTCAGGGACGATGAGTGTGATCATGGGCATGCATATTCCAATAACCATTTGCTTCTCGTTCCCATTCCAGACCCGGGAGAACAGCGAGTGAGGAAAGGAAGCGTGTAAAGTCTATCGGTCATCACCATCACCATCACTTCCTTCCCTGCTCCTGCCCCTGCTCACTATCGCACATACTCATTCTCCACCTCTCTTTCTCGTCCTTCTCCTTCAACTTGCCCTTCTCCTGCACGGTCTTTCCTCTTCCTCCTCTTCCTCCTCTTCCTCCTCTTCCTCCTCTTCCTCCTCTTCCTCCTCTTCCTCCTCTTCCTCCTCTTCCTCCTCTTCCTCCTCTTCCTCCTCTTCCTCCTCTTCCTCCTCTTCCTCCTCTTCCTCCTCTTCCTCCTCTTCCTCCTCTTCCTCCTCTTCCTCCTCTTCCTCCTCTTCCTCCTCTTCCTCCCCTCCCTCGTCCCCCCTCAACTCTCTACTCATTCTGATACGCTCGGACCCCTGCGATTAGGCTGCATGTGGACAAGGGGATTGACAGGACCACCGGTAGTTTCGACAACCCATAAGGGGGTATTCCAAAAGTTTGTGTTTTCTCCCTCTGGAGACTTTTTGAGAAAGTTTGGGCGGCTCAATCTTCCGAAGTTCCGCCGGGCGGCCCGGCAGGACTCGGGCCCGATGATCGGAATTGAGTAGAGAAAGTACTACAAGTCTATAGAAACAATATCTATTGGCCGCTGATGATATTTATCACTTAGTAACCGGGCACAAGGGAAGGGACTTCAAAGTCTGCATCGGGCTGGGACTCTATGTCTGAAGTACTTATCGTCGAATCATCATCGTCCTCACCGCTGCTGCCTGTCTCAAATTCATACTCTCTGTAGGAGACCTCTGATATCTCCTCCGACTGTGCTGCGGCGTCGTAGTGCAACTCCATCCCCGTCGGCGACCATCTCTTGGCCAGCTCTCGGGCTGCTCACAAGGTCAGCAACTGGAAGTTCTCAGCTCACTTGACTCTCGACCGAAGGCTCTGATCTCAGGGCAGATTCCGCCGACCGTCTGCTCTACTAAGGCCAATATGACCTTCTGGTAGATGGCCTGCAGAGGTTCAGCACGGGGCCGGCGGCAGCAACTGAGTTTCAGCTCACCACCCGCTGATCCTGTTCCATGATGACAGTGTCCAAGTCCGATACGTTCAGATGCTTCTGCCCAGGACCGCAAGTCAACTCGCGATGTGCAGGGCGCGTGCTGGAACCTGGTTGCTGAGGATACTGGCAAGGTAGAGGTTCTCGGCGTGATATTTCTCCGGGTTCAGGTTCGGCTGCATCGTCGCACGAACGAAAGGGATCTTGCAGTCGTTCGGCGGTTCAATCTCCCCCCTGGCCTGCACGCTCGAGATAAGACTAGGAAGAAGCTTTCTCCGGCACTCACAATCTTGCGGTACTTCTCCAAGAGGGTCTCCTCGGATTCAAAAGTACTCTGAAAGGACATTTCAACCGCAGGGCATCAGAGGGCAGGTTGCTTACAGTATCTTGTTTGAAGTAGTAGACTTTGCCCTGGAACGTTGCCTTCACATAGTCTTCCGCGATCATGATTGTATACAGGATCTCCTTGTGCTCATTCTTGGTTTGAAGTGCATCAATATCGCACTACTGCCACAATCAAAGAACTTCTCACATTCATCTTCTCGTAATGTCTGCTGCAGAATGGAGTGCCTGGTGGCGGGAGCTTGAGGTGGTATCGTTCCAGCAGTGCAGTTTCCTGTTGAATCGTTACGATCGAACGTGGACGGCAGCCGTTCACTGTCTCGTTGAACGTGAGGATATTAGGAACCCTCAGCTTCGATGCGTTAACTCGTATCTGCTTGCACTCAACGAAGGCGCCATGAGGTTAAACAACACCTTTGTGGTTGATGAGACATTGAAGTATTTCTGGAACAGCTCAACATATTCCTGATCTCTCCTCTCGTTGAGCTCACTCTGGGAAGTGTAACACTTCAAGTGCTGCAATCTCCAACTCAGACACCAAGAAGCCTCTCAAGAGGAATCAATGCGTGCCTGGTTCAAATACGAGCCTAGAGGGTGGATTGATCGTTTTGCCTCCCACCTGTATTCCAATTACTTTTCATACTTCTAATCACATCAGCCTCTCATACCTTTCACGGATTTGAGATCGTATATCCTTGATCAGACGTGCAGACTTGCGATCTGGCACCTCTTGAACTTGAGTCCAAGAGAAGCCATTGGTGGGAATTTTGCAAGCGCTGCAAATTTGCCTGTACCTGGACGAAGGTATCACCAAGAGGACTTCAAAACACCTCCTCATGCACCAGAGAGCCTCATGGTTGGCAAAAATGTCTGCCTCGACGAACATCGGCCTCGAGAAGCAGTGCTTGCATGTTCGAACCTTGTGCCTAATCTGCACACACCTCACAATCCAGGCACCAACGCAAAACAACTGCTTCCACCTCCTTCCACTTGCCAAGGTCGTAACCTCTCTCGACGCCCTCTCTCAGGTATGCAGCAGCCGTCATTCGATGATCAAGTTCGTATGAGCAGTGGAGAGGATTGCCGTAGGAATTTGTGCCATCGTCATGAACCACAGGTCCTGGACAGTAGGGGCAAAAATCCATGGTTCTTTTTGAGATGTAGATCATTTGCTTGTCCACGTGATTCAGACTCTTCATTGATGAACCATATCGTTTCCATACTCTTCTGGTGGTCTTCGAGGTGTTGTCTTCATTCAACCTTAGTAGAATACAGTTGTTTTGGGGTTTTTCCCTAACCCGGATCAAGTTCAAATTTGTGATTTTTTTTGGCTTGTCTGGCTTGATGCGCCAGCCCAAGTCTGCATCAGGCATCTGGTCAATCGCTTTGGATTGCATCTTGAGCTGTCGAACAGTGGAGGTGCTCAGGGTAGCCTCGGATTTCTTCTCCATCAGCACCAACTTTTCAGGCTTCACTGTCTCGATCTCAGTTTGGGAATACTGAGACGTCAAGACTTCATTCTCGTGATAGCTCCTGTCCTCTTGCATTGTTATGGGCTCATGCATTTCAACAGATTGTTGGTGAAACCCATTCGCCTTGGTGTCTTGGGTACTTGCTGACAACATGTCGGCAGCAATGGAGTACACCCTCGCAACAGGGTCCCTGCCGTTGTCAACTTCATGCTGAAAGAAGACAGGCGAATCTTCAAAATTCAACGTAGGGAATCTCGATCCCGGTGATGCCCTATGATTCACAAGAGCCGACATGTCATAGGCTAAGGCGGCAATCTTTGCCGTGGAGTATACACCAATGGTCTTTCTCAAGGACTTTGCTGAATAACCATCTTTTGATTTTGATACACCCCTGTACTTGACATTTTGATGTTCCTCTCCATGATGATCCGCGAATTTCCATCTTGTCAATGCTGCTTTCTTCGGTGTCTGGGCTATGCCATCGTCTTGTGCGAGCGGCCTCTTGCCTGCTCCTCCCCGACATCTGCAAACACTGACGTACTGAGCTGACAATGGCTCAACGGTTCTCAATCCTGAAGTGGCAAGGAACAGATAGAGAAGCAGACCTATACGGTAAAGTTGTAGCAACAAACGTGTCGCCATGTATCATTCCTACTCACAACCATCCCACTGATTGGCAATGATGGACCATGATTGCTCTACAATGACAACCTGGGACATGTTGGACGTTCTACTTCCACACGTGATTGAGAGGAAAGCTCGATCTTTCACAGGGGAGTTTCTGCCCCGTCAATTCCTCAGACGCTACTTCCCCTCTCCTCGCTCCCTCCTCGTTCTTCTCTTCCTCCAGCTCCGGCGGCCGCATCTCGTCTCATCGCTCAAGTGCATGGCCCTCATCACCCGGACTCGGGCTCGGAACTTCCCCCGGCGAGCACTGAAGTGCTGACTGAAGTGACCGGCACGCAGACCGGCACGATCCCAGTAGGGCAAGAGCGGGGATGAGGGTGAGCGAGGAGCGGAGGTTGAGGTGTCCTCTGCGCGTGAGCATGGAGGGGCTTCACGTTGTGTATGTCGGCAATGTCAGCAGCGCGACGTCGGTGAGAGGAGGAGGAGGAGGAGGAGGAGGATCACGAGGATGAGGAGGAGGAGTAGGAGAGGAGATGGAGAGGTCGAACTTGACAGGGATCAGATGAAGATACGTGGGAACGGCAGATGAAGCGTGGGAGGTGGTACAACGTGCAGGATTGGAGGGAGGATCTGGGTAACGAGGAGCAAGATGATTGGGAGTATAATGAAGGGGTTACGTCTTGATGAACACAAGCAAAGGAGCTCTGACTTGTTCCATACTCTGAATTTTCAGAGGCATGATACTGATTTCATCTTGTTCAGCCCAAGGCAATCGAAGAATTGTTCACAAAATTTGATTCCTTCGTCAGCTGTGAGATGAAGAGCGCAGGATATGGATTTGTGGTCTGTGTAACTTCAGGAATGGTTGATGCATTTTGACACGTTCGAGCAGAAGTTTGAGAAATCGTCTGATGCCGAAGATGCCATATCGCAGTACGATGGGTGAGCGATTCATGTGATATATACATGTCAGCGAACATTGTTTGGATGGTCTCCTGTATGAGCATCGTAGTCGGTGATGAAACCGCCAGTAGGTAGTGACGTGTTCAACCATCGTATCGTGTTGATGTGGGTGGCATGCAAGAGGACTTGTTTGCCAAGGGCATAAGGACTCATTTCTGGAGTTGTGGGCTGTATGAAAGACACGGTGTGTTGACGCTGTCATCCATGAATGGAGGGAAGGATCGCTCACGGGTTGAAGGAAGGCTTTTTGCTCTGTGAGGAAAGAGAGTAGTGTGCATGCGAGGATAGGACAGAGCTTTTGAAATGAGTGCTTGTTTGGGGTCTCTTTGGACACGGAATGTGGATTTGGCAACTTGAGGCATGACAAAAAACCAACATCTCTTGGATGAAGGGGTCTGCTTCTGAAAGGGGTCAAGTGAAACATGGAGGTTATGGACTTGATAAGGCGGGGACACAATATGCACTTGGTTGTCATAGAAGTGTTGCAGCTTTTGTTGGATACAGAATTTATCATCATGCCGCCCATCTAGAGTCACTTTCTTACTTCTCCTAGGTATGAGCTTGAGGGCAATAAGCTCAGGGTCCAACATGGGAGGTCACAAGCAGGTCGAAGAGGTATCTCTCTATTTTCTAGGCATTGGCTCAATTTCAAAAACCAAACTTATGCATCCTGCTTCTCACTTGGTTTGAACTAAGGCGACGATCGCGGAGGATATGATGGTGGCCAAGGCTCTCGAGGTCCTCGCCCAACTGGCCAAAATCGGGTTGGAATTTATTTCTTGGATTTGGATGCAAAGACAACTTTCGTGTGTTTGTTGTGGATCTGGCAATCACGGCCACCAACTGAAGACTGGACAGCTTCTAGATTTGATCTAACCAGGTTTCTTGCAGGTCTACGTTGACGGCATCGATGAAAAGACGAGCTGGCAAGATCTCAAAGATTTTGCAAGGAAAGCCGGCAACCCGGTGATTTGTCAGACATCTCGAAATTTTGTGCTGACTCCCCTTAGGCCTATACGGACACGGTCATGGATTCGAAGGGCAAGTACGGAGTCATTGAATACAGGACTGCAGAAGATTGCTACAGTGCATGTCGCATGCTTGACGGAACCATGATCGGCAGCTGCAAAGTTCGCGTTTACGAGGTAAAAGTGCGCTATTCTGAATCGTTGTTTGACAAGCTTATTACTCTAGGCCAGCGGATCTTCTTCAGGCGGAGGCAGCAGTAATTTTTTCTTGTCTTGATTCCTGTTAATTTGTGACCTGGAATGTCAAGGGAGCGGAGGTAACCCTCGAGAACGCAGTGCAGGACGCAACGGTGGTTCAGACAGGTAGGTGGAAACGTATATCTGATCCCAAGCTTGAACGAATTTCTATATGGATTTTATGCTTTTTCTCACTGCAAAATATACAGATATGAGGATAGAGGACCCCGAGGTTCTGATAGGAGGGATTACCCTGACCGTAATCTTTGCGGACGGAAACGTCGGTCTGTGCTCATCTTGTTTGTGAGCAGGCTATGAACGTGGTGCTGGGGATCGCTACGGTGACAGATACCCACAAGGGGGTCGCAACGGTGAGCTGCCCTCGTCACCTCAGTGCTCTAACTGGACGGAAGACCGTCCTCCCATGGATCGCGGCGGCTATGATCGCGGTGGCTACGACCGTGGTGGCTATGATCGCGGCGGTTACGATCGCGGAGCCCCGCCGCGCGGAGGTCCAGATCGCTATGAACGAGGTGGGCCTGACCGCGGAGGCTACGGCGACCGCGGAGGCTACGGCGACCGTGGAGGTTACGACCGCGGAGGTTATGACCGCGGAGGCCCTCCTGTGCGTGGAGGCGGCGGTTATGACAGGCCCCCCATGGGCGGCGGCCGCCCCAGGTCGAGGAGCCCAGTGCGGCCGAGGAGCCCACGACAGAGGTAGAGAGAATGGCGAGTCTGCCACGAGGCTGACAGGACGCAGATCTCCTCCTCGCCGCGGCGCATCCCCTGTTCGGTAGTGTGCGATCGCGTGCAGACACTGGGACTGACTGTCCTTTAGTAGGTCCCCTCGCCGTGGAGGATCCGAGCCAAGATAAACATTTTGCCACCAGGACCCAAAGACACACACGCGTACTAGGCGTTTCTTCATGAATAAATTGGTCGTGTTATAGAATTCTCGAATGAGTCCAAGATCACAGCAGGATAAAAGTTGGTGTACTTGCCGTACGCATGAGTGGATGGAAAACGATAAGTTAGATAACCTGGAGTGAGGACATCTTTCAAAAGCGCGGACTGCACCGAAACAGGACTTGAGCTGGAACGTCTTGTATTAATGATGGTTGGCATGTATACTTCTCTGACGGTGAGCTATTAAAGCGCTTCGATTCTCGGGAGTTTGAGAGTCTACTCATGTAGCAATCCATTCGCAGAATGCGTTCTGAAAGCTTCAAGAGCATCGGTTTATCTGTATCTTGAGGTGAATTGACAGCAGGTCGATCACTTAAATCAAAGTACCTCATCGATCAGGTGTGATCTGACTCAGACTGAGAGCAGTGGGCCAATTCCACCTCTCTGAACTCGTTGTCTGATTCAGTATGAGACAGTCGTAGTCGATTTACTGAGATACGAAAACAGTATATCATATGGAGAGCTACAAGTCTTTAATATCAGCTCCTGGCAGTAGGCTGGCTATCACGCTTAGAGGCAAAAGGCGGCAAGAAAGAAGCCCAACGACGTACCAGCTGTTGTCCTTGTCAAGTCTTAGAGCTCAACGGATTGTAACCTGCCCGTTCGTCTCCCTCCTCATGATGGCCTTGGCTTCATTCTGAGGCAGGTTGGTGTAAACCAAGAAGGAGTTGCCGTCGGAGTTTTTATCGCAAGTGATACATCCTGAGAGAGCGATCTCCATGCTGTTGATGTTGCAACCTCTGCTGCCGATGAACCTTCCAACCTCATGTTGTGGCACCCGCACCTCGAACGTGGGTAGACTTCTCATGCTCTGCAGCCTGGCTTGTGACTTCGCGCATGCTTGTTCACATCCTGTGGGGTTGGAGAACGAATTAGCGATCTGCATCCTATACAAGGGGATCGTAGTGTAGACATCTCCTCCTGCCACTTGAATCATGGTCTCAGTAAGAGGACGTGATGCCCAATAGGCCGGGTTAGACTTGTACGGGTTGAAGGAGGCGTTCTTGTGTGTGTTGAGGGGAAGGTTCCAAGCTTCGAGGGTTAGGTTGAGGTTCGGACGCGAGTAGCATCTTCTGAGCGTCATGTGCCAGGCTTGTGTGTCATGCACGTTGACGACCGTGATGCCATGACAGTGGAGGAGACAATCAGCGTCTGCAGCCGGGTCATGGATGACTTTGAGGACAGACTCGTCCTCAAGCACCTGCTTTGCAAATGCAAACAGCTGGTCTTTGATGGGAGAGAGCATATCCAGCAGGAAGCAGAGTTGCCCTCCATCTTCTCTATCGATGGCAAACTGGATCAAAGTGACCGAGCCGATTCTTGAGAGGTTGACGCCCTCGCAGTCCCAGGCAAGGAGCTTCACATGCTCGAGCTCTTTCTTCAACCTCGCCAACGAGTCTGCTCCATCCACAACAAGCGTCTCGACGTTGCCTTCCTCCTTGATGCTCAGCCGACTGAGAGTTGCGGCAAGCTCTGATCGCCGCATAGGCCGCGTTTCTTAGCTCGCAGGGGCCCGAATTCGAATTCGGGTCAAACAGTGGCGCTGTTGACTAATCTTTGTATTGAGAAATCAGACTTTTAGCTTTTTTGTTTCTTCTTTTTTTCTATATCCTGCGTTAGAGGAGGACGGGATAAACACTGCGAGCGACACAGGCTGACTTGGAGCACGAGGAGGGACGCTGACTTGGAGCACGAGGAGGGACGCTGACTTGGAGCACGAGGAGGGACGCTGACTAGGAGCACGAGGAGGGACGCTGACTTGGAGCTTTCGACGGGCTGGTTCGGATATCGAGCTCTCACTCGCTTCCATCAGCGTTCTCAAGAATCCGTTGGAAAAACTTGTCAAAGTCGATCCTGCCCTCGTCACCTGCACCCGTGTCAACCGACTGAAGGCTGGCAAACAGGAGCACCATGCTGATCTTGTGGGTGGTGAGATGTGATCCCGAACCTCTTGAGACCTGGAGGAAAGAGTCAGCTCGACCCACGGGAGGATGCCATCAGGGCTGAACAACCTTCAAGGACGTCGCTCGGTAGCAAGAAGCCCCTGCAACTGACGTCCATCTCGTGGAAGAGAAGCCATGACATCCCTTGCATAGGGTGACATCTCTTGTGTTGTTCTGCATCGGAGGAGTTCGAGACATCAGGTTCACTGTTGACAAGTTTCTGCAAGACAAGGGAAGATCGAGAAGAACTCTCAACGAGGTGCCACTGGCCATGCTCAGAGGTGAGAGTGCACCGGAAGACTTGGAACCAGCGGAGTAAGCATTGAAGAGCTGCGAGAGAAAGCTTGACACACTCCTTGAGACCTCGACGAATCTCATTGCCAAAGTTGAGAATGCGATTGGACTGAGCGAAATCTCTCGACTTGACCTGCCATTCACTCTTTCTCACTTGCTCAGCAACTACATGGCACTGGTTGACGACTGCGAGCAAGAAGTCCTCGAGTGTTCTATCCATGCTGTCTTTCGCCGACAAGAGATCGAACACCTTGGGTCGAGCATCAAGAGCTGCCTGCAGAAACTTCGCTTCCACTTGTTCAACGATCCCATTGCCAACGTCTTCCTCTGTCTTCCTTGCAAGTATCTCCATGTTCAGCTGCTGGTGAATCAGGTCCTGCATGTGATGCTCCTCCTGAACTCTCCTCTCATTCTTTCTTCTAAGATACATTCTTTCTTCGCGTTCCCGCCAGTCGTCGTACACAGGCTCTTCTCGGGTGCCTTGCTCTGCTTGTCTTGCAAGTTCCTGGGCATGAATTTTGAACTCCTGCCGGTCCAACACAAATCCAATGAAATCATCGTGCACCCTCCCGTCTTCGTCCACAGTCTTCCGCATGTCTTGCATTTCGTCTCGAGAAGCAACGTGCTTGGCGAGGCTACTCTGCTCTATGCGACGGATCTCATCGTCGTTGGTGTCTAGACGTGTGACGCCGTCTCCGTCCCGGTCCTCTTCATCTCGGTCTAGCTCTGTCTCGGCGTCCAAAAGCTCTCCTAGGTTGTAGCTCACACTGATCGCCATTGCAGATTGAGTCATCGGCAAAACTCATCCGCAGTGCGGTACCGGTTCAAGGTTAGCTGTCAGCATGATGAAGAAGCGGGGGCTTCCTGAGAAAGTCCCAACTTCATCTGACCTGCATCATCTTGTCGACATTTCCTCCTCTCGGCTCTTTCCTCCGACCCTCCAGACTTTCCCCTATCTCAGTCCCGCCCTCTCTCCTCTCCCTTCTCTCTCCCATGATCAACGGCGCTATAGTGAGGTTCCTGACTGATCGCCCGGGTCGGAGCGCGAACGCCGGTCGGAGCCTCCTACCGTACCCGGCAGGCAAGGGCCTACCGTATGTTCATCTCTTCCCATATTTGAAAATAAAGAGGATAATTTCAAAATTCTTCAAGTTGTGATTGAAATGTGCTATTGGGATGAAGACCACCCCACTAAACCTGCTTCCTCAAATCCCTATCGTGACATTCAAACCTGTCTCTGTCACATCAGTTTTAAATTCAAAATTATGTTTAAAATTCCAAATATTTGAAAATTCCTTCAATGCTGTAGCTTGCATGTGGTAGGTAGTTTGAAACGAGTAGGGGTGTTTCAGAGGTGAAACTATGGGGTGAATATGTACGAGGGTAGGGGTAGGTTGTTCAGGGAGAAACTCAAGGTGGGGGTCATCGAAATGGGTTTTCCCCCAGTACTGTCGCTGATCGCCAAACGGGGCAAAGAGGAGGCGAGGCGGTAGAGGAGGCGAGGAGAGCAAGGAACAAGGGATATAAGGAAGACGTGAGACTGCTTCCACAAGTGCACCCATCGAGAGACAGGAATACATCCTTGATAGGACGGAATACTTTCTTGGGAGGTACCACAGTTGAAGGATTTCATGCACGCAGCATGTGCGACAACAAGTTAGGAAGAGTACAATCCATGCTGTGAATATATCAGGGACCGAAGTGGAGTCGACTAAGAGGTCAACTTCGTCCTGGTTCAGATAATTTAGTCTCAAACAGACCAAATCCTCGGACAGATACTGGATTCGTTTGCAATCGGCACAAACAGCTTCGAACACTCTCTCAAAGGTGAAGCAATCAGAGGCTACATTTATCCTGGTACCAGTTTAACATTGATGCAGAGGTGTATTCAAGTTCCTAAAGCTATCAGAGCACAAGAAACGGCAGAGGAGCACAAAGCTTTCTGACTGGCATACTCTACTCCAACTTTGAATTCCTCGCGCACGAAATGGAGCGATTTACAGACTTGCTGCGTGGATCTAACAACGTGAGTAACGAGATGACGATTCCCGTTTCTGTTAAATCTTTGCGAGCAGAGTCCTAAGTCTTATTCTAATTTGCGAGACAAAGTGAGAAAGAAAGGAGAGGAGTGGAGAAAGAATGTTCAAGAGTGTTGTTTCGGCAAAGCTGATTCGACTTTCCTATACAGAAGGACAAAGGCTCTGATATGGATGTCGAAATGGGAGAGGTGCGATTACACCTAGGCCCTTCCACGTTAATCTATCATTGAGTGGTTCTTTGGTTCTTTTCCCTCCACCAGACTTTCTTTCCTTGTTTCGTGAGACCTCTGACCTTACTGTCAGGCCGATCCAAATCAATCGCCCTTCATGCAAGAGTTCTTTGACAAGGTTCATCAATTAAAGCCCATGAATGTGTTGCATTTGAATCTTGATGCAGATTTCTCAAGTCAAAAGGAACATGGATCAGATACGCAAGAACATGGGTCACATGGAAAAACAGGTTCACTTTGCTAAGCATGTCCGTTTGTTCTTTTGACTTCGGTGTTGTAGCACGGGATGGCCCTTACCTCTGTGTCAAGTTCAGCCTCCAATAAGAGACAGGTTCGGGGACGTCACGTAGAGTTTGTCTTGGGATAGTTGACTGTTACCTAGGAGGAGCTTGAAGGCCTTATGGATCAAACTAGCACTCTGATCACTGCGGTACATCCCCGAGAGCGTCTGATTCAGCTGTTGTTGAGAGTCGTGCAGGTCAAAGTTGCCCTGAAGGACATGGATAAAGACAGCAAAGCACATGCTGCAAAGGTGGCCATTGCTGACTTCTATCTACCCTTCTGTGATTATGCCTTCCATGATAGGCGGGGAAGGCTGGTGATGGAGAGGCAAGAATTCGTCAGAACATGCACAGTGCACTGACCAAGAAGTTTATTTGTGACGATTTGATCTGCTGGAGATGCTAGCTCTCTGACATGGTGTACAGCCCTAGTCCAAGAGTATCAAGAGATGCAAACGAATTTCAAGGGAAAGTACAAGTACGGACTAGCTGTTGATGCATGGTGCTTCTAGTCATACCTGATGTTCTGTACAGGGAACGTGTGGGCAGGCAGCTCAAAGTCGTGAGACCTGATGCAACAGATGATGATGTGGAGAGGCTGCTGCAGGTAAGTTTGTCGAGATGCCAAGGATCTTCTAGGAGGTTGTTCTCATCTTGTCTTTCCAGGATGGAGGTGACAGCAACATTTTCAAACAACAACTGCTACAGGAGCGATCAACTCAGGTTCGAGCATTCGATTGTTTGATTTCCTTTGGTCCCTCACAAAGGTTACCGCAGGCTGCGAAAAATGCCCTGGCAGACATTCAAGACAAGCACAGAGATATCATTCGACTGGAGCAGGTGAGATAGTGTGAATATTGCAAATTTGATGGATGATGTTTCAGAGCATTGTTGAGTTGCATCAATTGTTCGTGGACATGGCCGTTTTGGTGGAAACACAGGTGAGAGTGGAGGTGACGTATACCAAAGTTAAATGAGTTTCACAGGGCGAGATGTTGGATCAGATCGAATATAGTGTGCAACAGGTGACTCCGGCCGAAGTTCTATGAATTGCTTTCAACGCTGACAGAATTGCAGGCACATCAATATGTTGATCGCGGTGTGAAGCAACTTGAGAAAGCAAAGGAGAGCCAGAAGAAATCTCGCAAGGTCTACAACACTCGTCTGGGTTGTCTTCATTTGATCTTATGTGCAGAGAATGTGCTGTTTGCTTTGCTGCTTCATCATCATCCTTTTCATTGTTATTGGAGTCGTTTTCGGAGGACTGAAAGGGGCTAAAATTGTTTAAAGGAAGTGTATATACATCTCAGTCATAAGTGAAAACAAAAATTCATGCGCGAAACTTTTCTTCACGTGTCATACCTCCTACCGTCACTCCGATTACACATGGCCCGGGATCGGCCGGCCGGGCCCGGCCCAGCGCACTGACGGGCCGGGCGGGCGCGCGGCTCCGGTGAGGCCGCTGAGCCGGGGAGTCAGGCTGGCCCAGAAGTTAAAACAACACCGGGGAAGACAGCTAGCAGAGTTCGCCATGGCGGATGGGCGGAAGTCGCCTGAGGCGGTGCCAGCAGGCGAGAATGCGAGCATGAGCGACGCGGCGAAGTGCTGAGCTGCTCCCAGGATAAGCAAGCACAAGATTCGAGCAGGAGGAAGAACGCAGAAGTTCCAGGAAGCTTAAGGATACCAGAATGGAGGAGCAACTCATGGGATATGTGCGGATGGAAGTGACCATAGGAGAAGAGGTAAGTCAGCATGATGGTGCTCGATGTCGCCTCCTCTTTCCTCCTGTCCCCAGTATTGTTCTCGCTCCGCTCTTGCATGAGGAGAGGGTTGATGAAGGCGCGTGAGATATCAACGACTGTTGATATGAGAACCCACAGTACTTCGAAGTAGAGTAAGAATACAGGAGCGTAGGTTCGTGTAGGTTCGTTGTCCACATAAGCAGCAAGTGCAGATATCACGGATAGTGTAGACGTTCAGGGCGGAGGGAAGGGTGTTCTGGTAGCAGCACCTGCCTTGTAGTGAGTGGTTGTTCAACCCAGGACGAAGTTCGACGAGACGTGTTCTTCCTGGGAGAAGACCTGTCCATCAGAGTCTTCGTACACCTGCCACTTGGTCAGAAGTTCCAGGGAAGGTTCCTCACAGACTGGAAGCACTTCTTCTCCAACCTCGACATTTCCGTCCAGCTCTTCGAGGCTCTAGGCACCGACCAGTCGGCAGAGCTGAGCGAGAGCTCGGTACGGGAAGACGACGGCGCCTCGGAGAGCTTCATGGACGCGACCGAAATGTTCACGCTGGTCCGGATGGATACATCCGAAGTGGAGAAGGGGAAGCTGATCGGCTCTCCATCCTTCCTGGGCTCAGGCATCGCCTCCAACACCAACGACGAGGGCGAGGAGACAACAGGGAAGTGGATCGAGTCCAACAAGGTTGCATATTCACTGAAGTTGCGGCTGTCGCTGGAGAGGGCTCATCTCGAGAGGCGGGTGAGTGTTGACCCTCCTGATTCTATGTCTTGAGCTTTTTAACGTCTCCTCCTCCTCCTCCTCCTCCTCCTCCTCCTCCTCCTCCACTTCTTTTCCCTCCTCCTCTCTTCCTCCTCGTCTTCCCTCAGCTGGTCATGAAAGTCACTGCGTCTCCCCCGACCTTTCCCATGGACGAGGCAAACTTCCTCCTCCCATCCCAGGACCTCTCTCCGAGGTCTGCCATCTCCTCATGCCCCTCCCTCCGCTCCCTGAAGCTTCTTCAGCTCCCACGAGGCAGCGCGTCTGCTCCACGGCCTCTACTCAAGGAGCAGCACTTCAAGAGGATTCCGTCCGACTTACAACGCGGAGTTCTTCATCAAAGTTCAAGACCCGCTCTACGTTGAGACAACCCTCCGAAGCTCTCCCATGTCCCATGACTCGGTATAGCCCGTCCCCTTCATTTCATTCCACCTTCCTACCTCCGCGCCCCCATGCCCCCCTCCCTGACCCGATCCGAGGGGCCGCTCCCTGCTTCTCTTCTGCTCTTTCTCAACATCTTTCCCTTGTTTCTCCACCTCCTCCCTGTTTCCTCCTCCGTAATTACCTTCTCTCTGTTTTTCAACTTCCAGCCTTCCTAACCCATGGTCCTCTGTTTCACATTACTTTCTCCTTGACGAGATCTATATCTTCTCATTCCAATCCACTTCTATTCCTTCTCCTCCCTCCTCCTCTTACATCGCTCTCACATTTGGGATTCCAGTATGTCCTGGCAGTTGTGGTTCAGAATCGTTACCCTCATGACTGGTCACTCGCGATCGACAAGGTGGAACTCTCCTCCCCCGCCTCGAGCCTCACAGGATGGAACATTCGCTGGATGGGATGCGAGGAGGAGAACCTGATTCTCCACCGAACGGAGCAGCAGAGCATCGTGTGCTTGCTGGAGCCGTCTTCCACTCAGGTGTCCACCCTCCCAGAGAGCATGCAGCTTGTGATATGGTGGAGGCTGAGAGGAGGAGGAGGAGGGGAGAGCAAGATGAAGGTGGTTGATCTGCACATGGGAAGCGTCTCTCGCAGACTGCAAGGACTTGACATGCAGACATCTCGGGATATGAACATAATGTGCAGCATACGAAACAACGACAAGGTACGAACGGCAACATGCATGATAGCTTGTCTACAAGTGCTCCTCCTGTCGTCCTTGCCTCCTAATGCACCAGCCGACTGCAACTCAACGACACCTTCCCCTCCTCTACCTGCCTTCATGAGATGTTTTTCTTCCCCTCCAGCTCTCCTCTCTGACCACTCAAAATTTTCGCGCCAGGTCGTCGTAGGCTGCAAGTCCTTCTGCGAGTTCAACATCAAGAACGGGGGGAATGAAACTCTCCATATCCTCCTCTACTTCCCCGACTCTCACCTCCTCTCCTCCCCCGAGGCTGGCAAGCAGGATGGCGCGCTGCGCTGTATCACTCGGCTGATCGAGGTGGGAAAAATTCCGCCCAAGAGTGACACCACTGTGAGCGTAGAGGTGAGGACGGAGGAGAGGGAGAGGGGGAAGGAGGGAGGTGGATGATGTTGATGAGTAGGTGATGGGGTTGAGGGCTGGGATGGCGAGGATGGAAGCTTGTTTCCTGCATGATATGAACTCGAAGCTGTCGGTCGAGGTCTTCACGCACTGGGCGACGATGGTGACGTGAAGAGAGGAGAGGGAAGAGTGTGGTGGGTTGTACAGTGAAGCAAGGGACAAGAACATCGAAGTTGGTCGCTCAGCTTGTTTCTACTTCTCTCTCCACGCCTGCCTGCCCCTACTGCTTGCTGATCGCCTCAAGTCTCTTCATCTTCTCCTCCAACCTCTTGCGTATCGACTGACGAGAAGCTTTCTTAGCGACGGAGACGGAGACAGACACTTCAGTCCCTTCCTTGACACCTGCAAGGGTGCGTAGGATGACGGAGTCGCTCGCCAAGGACACGAGCATCGAGTCCTCCGGAGTCACTTGTACCTCCACCCCGAGGGGATAGAACCACTTCCCACTGGCGAAGATCACAGTTGCATCTCCCTCCACCCCCGACGAGCTGAAGGTGAGCTGGAAGTTGCCAGTGGAGGGTTCGAAGGAGTAGCTCGAGATGTTCCCTGCTACCTGCTGTGGGTACGTGCGGGCGATCAGCCGCACCTTGCCCTCCCTAAGGGAGCCGTCGGTCTGGTTGTAGAACCCTTCCTCCACCGTCCCGTCTGGCTCCATCGCTTGCGTCGTAGGATCATGATAGCTCTTGAACTGCCAGTACGTCCATGACTGTGCATGACGGTCGGTGATTTCTCCGATCTTGTCCGCCATGGCGCTGTCCACGGGCCCGTCGTCGATCATCGCTCCCCACTCGGTCAAGAAGCCAGCGACTGAGAGCTTCTCCAAGTCACCCTCGATCACGTTTGACAAGTACTTGTCAAAATAGGCGTTGCACAGCTCCGTGTTGGCCGGCTGCCCATCCCTCGTGTTGTAGAAGCAGTACATGTGGTAGCTGAAGACCTGGCGGTCGTTGTACTCCGCACCCCCTGGCCCGGCCGACAGGCCCGTCCCCGAGAGGCTCTTGAACGGAGTCTGACTCACTCCCACAGTGGCCTCGAAGAAGAGCAAGTGCCGGTCGTCGACCTCCCGCACGGCCTCGTGCACTTTCTGGTAAAACGACTGGAGGTTCTTCTTGTCCGCCTGCCGGATGTCCAGGAACTCGGGATGGAGGAGGATGTCGCCGAGGAAGGGCTCGTTCAGGATCTCGTACCCGATGACGCTGCTCCTCGTGGCGAACCTGCCGTAACAGCTCAGAGCAGGGGCAAGAGGAGGAGGAGGAGGAGGAGGAGGAGGAGGACAAGGTGGACTAGGACGAGGTCTTAAGGAGCAGAAGGCATGCGGGTAGGACGTCAAGGGGGAGGCAGACCTCTGGGCTACGACCCTCCAGAAATTGACGAACTCGTCTTGGATCCCGTCGTAGTTGTCGTAGAAGGCCTGGAACGCCTTGCCGACGGCGTCGGAGAAGTAGTATCGGAAGAAAGCACTTTTGTAGCACTCGGAAGGCAGAGGATAGCCGGTCTCCGGATCTACCTCGTACTCGTGCCATGCTGTCGGGATGGGAAACTTCTCCGGCCTGACGCCCTCAGAGACATTGGTGTATGGCGTTGCCCAGTCCGGGAAGCCATTCCCGCAGAACTTCGGGGAGAACAAATCCTGATGCGCGTCCAGGATGGTGTAGATGCCGCTCGTGGCGAGGACGTCGACGATCTCTGCGATCTTGTCAAGGTAGGTCTCGTTGACTTGACCACGAGCAGGGAAGACTCCGGGGAGAGCGACGAGGAGGCGAACGACGTTCACTCCCATCGCCTTCATGTCCTGTACGTCCTTAGCCACCAGAGAGTCCACGGGGTCGAAGTGATCGGTCTGCGGGTGGTAAGGAGGGAGCTTCGAGACGACGTTAACTCCATGGAAGATGACTTCTGCTCCTTGCTCGTTCACCAGCCTCCGCCTGTCCGGGTCCACACGGACCCACGGCAGACTGCCATGGGCGGTGGGCAGCCACATGAGCGCGGCTGTGGCGCAGAGCGCAATCATGAATGTCAGTCGCATCGTCCCCTGTTGCAGCGGAGGAGGAGGAGGAGGAGGAGGAGGAGGCGCTCAGGCAAGCCGACTCATGTTTCTGTTACGAGTAACCTGAAGACAAAGTCAAAACGGTAAAAAAACAAATTCACCTTCTCTTCCCCTCCTCTTCCGCCTCTCCCTCCGAGTCTATCGTATACTTCTCCTCTCCTCCTCTTTCCTCTTCCTCCCCTTCGTCTTCCTCGTCCCTCCCCCCCCCCCCCCC